TATCTTTCTCTGGGTGTGTGTGCATAAAGCTCCACCCTGGCAAACCACCCACAAATGCAAAAGGTGGAGAATGGGCAACGAATGAACCGCCCGTTGCGCCAATTTATGACCTGTCAGAAATTTCCCAACACAGCACAACAACGTCGTACATACACACACACAACACACACCCAATACACAACACACACAACACCCCATTCAGCGCTCGCCTTGAAGCAGCTTTAAGTGCATGGCCCCCAAAAAAGTAGGCAACACTTTCTGCACTTCGTCCACGGCGCGCAGCAAAGTAGGCAATGGCCTCCGCCACTTGATGGATGTCCTGAGGCAAAAGAGAAGGAAGCATAATCCATAGCCCCATTCTGGAAGAGCGGTTTTTAATGGAACTCTGGCAGGCCATAATTCGTTTTCTAAGATAACATTGCAGGCTTCTAGCCTAGAGTGATTAATATTTTACCTAATACCAATTAAGAAATTTCCTTGGGACCAGTTTCTTGGGATTTTACTTTAGTTTTATTACATTTTAGGGGTATTAATTAGCCTAAAAACGGTTTAATTAAAAAAAAAAAACTATTAACAAGAAATGAAGTTAACTTCGGTAGGTTTAAGTTTGTAGAACCTTGCAGGTTGCATTTTATTTATAATATTAAAGATCATAACTATGCTTTTAATACTCGCTTTCTTTGAATTGTTATTTATCGATATTTTTATTTCAAATTTTTTTTCGACAAAATCAAATTTTAAAATACGCATAACTTAGCCAAAAAATGATTAATTTCAATTCGGAAAGCTGTCCTATGTTATTTTTTATTAGGTTCAAAAATCTGCGTACTCAATTTAAAATCTAAAAAATTAAATTTTTTGACAATTTCTTTTTTCAATTTTTATGATGTAACATTTTATAAAATTTAAAAAAAAATTACAATTTTTTTTTTGATGCTTGAGATGTCTAGATAGATTCTGCTGTTGATGCTGATCAAGAATATATATGATTTATAGGGTCGGAAATGATTCCTTCACTGAGTTTCTAGCTTCTAACTAAAATTGTAATACCTGGGAAGGCTATTATAGTTATATACATAGGGTATTCATAACAGATCAAGACACATTGACTTTCCTAGCAATTTAAAGTAAAATTAATTTCTTACAACATTCTTTCGATCAGCCAGAAACCTTTTCAACCTTTTCATAACCTTTATATCACATATAATAAGTCTTCTAGAGTGTCTTAACCCATCATCATCTCACTTATAAATCCCATACATAAGCATCACTTGTGTGCTTCTCCCTGCTCCCTCTAGCTCCCTCCTTCCACCTCTCTCTCTCTCTCTCCTTAACCCTTTCACTTATCCCAACAATATATAATGATTGTCCCAATCAAAATCATATTTCCCTCACCTGTAAAAAAGATCCGACATAACGACAACAGCAGCTGGCAATGTGTTTCTCCGCCATCGATATTACATAATCAGTTTTAAGTTTGCCTTCCGTTTGGTGGCTCTGGTACATAGTGTTTATTGCAGTTTATATAAAGAGTTAAAACCTTACACTTTCCATCCCCCTGGCAGACCTTTTGTTACCCCCAAAAATGATTTCCTCCTTTTTTTTTATTATTATTATTATTCTCGTTTCGGCTGACGCGCAGATTTAATATTTCCGCACTATTGTCGCAGGTGAACCCTTTACCCAGGACCTGCTAGGGACTGAGGGGTGGGTGGGAAGGGGAGAAGGGGGTGTTGCCATGACGTTGTCAGGAGGGCACATGTCACATGTCGTTGCCACGCCCACACAGACAAACGATGGGCGCAATGAAGGCGTTTTATGTGTAAAGGGGGTAGAGTCACGCCTCCATATGTTTCCTATACCTTGTGGCACGTTGTCTCTTTCTCACACTCCCTCCCAATCTCTCTCTCTCTTTCAATATCTCTCTCTTTCTCCTTTTCTCTTTATCTCTTTCTCTCCCACCTCTCTGTCTGCTTTTTGACGGCTTTTGACTTTTTGGCCTTGTTGTTGTCACCTGTTTTTTTATTTATATTGACGGTATTTTTTTACACACAAACACTTCCCGCACACCAACACACAGTTGTGGTGGAAATAATAGCTGTGGTTACCTATCCATAGTTTTTTTTTTTTGTATTCCTTGTTAATAAATTAGTTCTTATAAATAAAAAAAAGGCTTTTAATGCATAATTAAACAATGATTGTAAAAAAAACAATGGAATTATAAGCACACAATTAGTTTAATAATATTATGAAGGCATTATTTTAATTATACAAACTATGTAGTTATATAATTTTGCATTATAAAAAATATGCTTATAAATTAAAAGCATTTAAGCAAGTAATTTCAGAATTATTTTTTACGTAAAGCAAAAAACTATCTTTTAAGGCTTTCCGGAAGATTACTAAACGTATTGAGCCTGTTTTTCGTCGTTTTTTCATCCCCCATTGTAGGCATTTTGGTTTTTATTGTCCTGTTGTCCCGTTTTCCATTTATCTCCTTGGCACTCTTATATGGATATATTTTTTTTCTTAGCTTTTTTGGAATTTTTGCTTTTTTTGTGTTGGCCGCTTGTGTGGATTTTGATGTCTGGCCGAAACGCAACGAGCCACAACAATGACCGACAAGCGACTGACAGCCACAGCTGGTTTCACCTGTTCCACCTACCCCCCAAAAAAGGCAGCCAGCCTCTCATTCATTCATTCATTCATTCAGTCAATCATGCAGCCATTCAATTTATCGTTGACTTAACTTTTTGATGGTTACAAAATGAAATTTATGGAAACTTTGGCAAGCGGCTTGCTGCCTCAGAGACAGAGGACTCAGTGATGAGCTACAACTAGGTACAACTAGGTACAGGAATATATAACAAGGATATAAGATATATATATATAAAATACAGGATATAACATATCATATAGCTTGGTAGTAAAAAAAGGAAATTCTAAAGTTTCATAAATACAACAAAGAATAGAGACTTAATCCTGTTGTGTCAGGTACAATATCTAACCATATCCTTGTATCCTTTTGGCATCTCTGCCAGCGCGTTTACCTTTCTCTGGGGGGAGGGAGGTTGGAGGCAAAGGAACCCCGGGTTGAGGTTACAGGGTAAGGGGTATCCCAACCCAAACGCTTGACACTTGTGTTTGGGCATCCATCAGAAGTCGAGTCTGGACCGAAAAGCGAGTGTTATCTTTGCGGTCGCATCTATAATGGGTTTTGTCACGTTGCAGACGAGTCTGGCCCCGATTCCTACCCCTGGCTTTCCCAGCTTCCCTGCTGCTGAGGCATGAAAAACTCCTCCCCTCCCCCTACTGTCGACATCAATAAACTTGAAACAAAAAAGTCATACGGAAAGGGAAAGGGAAAGGGAATGGGCATTTGGGTTCCGGCCTGAGTCCGGCATATGTGTTTGTGTGATGCGGCTTATTCGAAATACATTTGCCTGTTTAAGCCGATTTTAAAACTCCTGCCTTTGCCTCAACCGACCCCGGTTGTCCTGCAGCAGCTCAGTTGGGTTTAACTTCCACCCCCCACCACCCAATTATCCATTATCCATTATCCTGGTCCTCTGCCTGGCAAAGTGCTTAATAACTTTGGCACCAAATGGTAGCAACAGCAGGAGCAGAGCGACAAGTGCATCAAATTGTCAGACATTTTCCAGTGTTGACTTTGACCCCACCCCTCTCTCTCTCAAAAAAAGAAAACATAATTGTTAAAGTTCAGCTAGGGGTTTCCTCCTAGCCGATATTGCGGTCAAATTGAGGAGCGGGGGGTAAAGCAGGATGCGAGCAGGAGTGTGCTCCAAAGGACGCTCAATAAAAGCACATGCATGCAACAATAAATAAATTAGAACAAGGTGCGGTATTGGACAGGACCCAAGCCCAAAATACACTGGAAATTAAATAAATATACAAAAAGGAATAGATATATATAATATAATATATAATATAATATAAGTAAAAGCCTACAATACTTCTGTGTGACTTAATCTTAAGCAATGATTTTTCTAGAGATTTGTACCTCAGAATTTTCCTCTCAGTGCTTTCCCTTTTTCTCTTAATAACGGGTTAGTCCTCAGGTGGCAGCAGGGGTGCCCAGTTAGGGCTAGGACTACCGTTTTGTTGTCTGCTTGGCAGTCAGATGCAATTTATTGATAATATTGCGAGGCACAGGAAGAGTGGTTACCAAAAAGAGGAAGGAGTTCGGGGGAATACCCCCTAAAAGTCAGCGCCAACTTTATGAGAATGCGACCTTTCTGCCATTATGTTGGTTATTTACACACACACACACACACACACAGTAGCAGCAGCACAAAATTTGTTGCACAAATTGTGGCAACAAATTTTAGCGCAGACAATATTCAGTTCAGTGGGAAAAGTGCCCTGGGTTTAAGGGTGAAAAGCTACAACCTACTTGCACCGGAAGTTGGAGACTAGGAGGAAGCTAGAAGGCTGCAAGGATAAAAGAGCCTGTAGAAGATGTAGAAGAAGGAGCTGCCAAAAGTCAATTGCTTGAATCTCCTCACTTGACTGGACCCTCCTTGAACTTGTTGAACCTGCCGTTGCAATACCAACAGACTTTCAAGTCCAAAATGCCAAGAAATGAATGCCTGGAAATTCACAAACATCAATATAAATGTTTTGAAAAAAACCGAAATATTGAACATCATTTTAATCAAAAATGCAACAACTCAATTTTGCAGCAAAATCGGTTTAATTTTGAATTTTCTTGTATAATTTTGTGCAATATTTATTGACCCAAATTCATGCCTCAATATTTTGTATTTTATATTGAAAAAGAGACATATATTTTGATGGATTTTAAATGGAAAAATAGTTAAAAGGTGAAAGAGTTTAAATGCCTTAAAAGTATCCAAAGTTACCAACTGTATAAATAATCAAAATCCAGGAATATATCCAATTACATCATATTATTACTTAAAACCAAGTACTTGCTTCAAAAATTTACTTATTTATTTATAATTTTCTCTCTTTCTCAGGAATACAATACAAAGACTGCCTCATGCCATGCCATCCACTATTACCACCAACCCAATAGCAGCAGCAGCTATAGTAGCTATAGTAGTCGTCGTCATCATCAACATCAGCAGCTGACATCATCAGCATCAACGTCATCGTCCACGTCATCACTGCAGCAACAACAACAACAACAACAAGAAGCTAACAGGAATCATCGCCATCGTCATCACTCCCTAGTACCCGATCGCATGAATCCTTTCGAGCTGGATAATTGCGAAGGCGAGCAGGATCAGGACGAGGACGAAGAGGAGGAGGAGCCACTAGAGGAGGACTATCCAGTAGAGGAGGAGCAGCCCGTAGAGCATCGTCGATTCAGGGGAAGCTACTACCAGAGGAGGCGACACTACAAGTACGATGCTGTGGAGGAATGCTGTCGTCCGATTTGTCAGGAACAGCATTATGGCTCCATAGCGGATATGTTGTAAGCGGGGAGGGGGAAACATTAAAGATAGAAGGATAAAAGGATAAAGGAAAAAGGGATATATATATAGAGGGGAATCACTTTAAAGCGAAACGCAAGGTACCTACAACAAAGTAACTACAAAGGAAATGCATGGAATGGATTGAGATAGAAAGATACAGATGCCCCCTCCTCCTCCCCTCCCCTTCCGCGCGATTAACGATAGGCAATAATCGATAGTTTGATAACCAATGACGAACGAATTGTGCATGTTGAATAGATGTATATCGAAGTGTGTGTTTTTTTTTGTCAATGTCACGGGGCGAACATTTTAAAAACTTATCGTTACTAAGCACAGAATTGATAAATATATATATTCAAAATATATGTATTATTAACCGTCTGGCAGATCTGGCACCGCTATATTATTAAACAAATATATATATATAAATATAGGAAACGTGTATACCCCACACTTCAAACACACACACACCACACACATCCATATATATCCTATATATATATAGATATTTATTCATGTACATACACACACACATATGTTAAAAGCCAATTTTTTTGTATTGCATCCGAATCTAGGAATACGAGAGCAAGCGATAACGATAACGATAATGATAACTCTTTTTTTTGTGGATAAATGTGGCAACTAGATCTAGAAGATTGCACCACAATGTTGTCTACGATTAAAGCAAACATGATCATTAAGCATATATATAATCCAAAATATATATAAATTAACCTAAATATATACAAACAATTTTTTTTATTATTTATAAACTAGCAATGCTTGTACATAGAATAAAGATTGTGGATTATAATTATACGAATATTAATAATTAATAAAACAAAAAAAGGATATTTAATAAAATGTGTTTTTTTTTGTATCTAATAGGTAACTTAAGCTCTGAGTGTTACACGAATTGTAAATACATTTGGACACATAAACAATTTAATTGACGCACAGTCGGACAAGGGGGAAAAGTCAAAAGAAGAAAACAAGAAAATATTTTTAAGCATTTAAGCGAAAAAATAAAACAAAATGCATTTAAGGAAGCCCACAAGAAATTAAAATGTGTAATTTATGTGCATGTAGTTGAAATCGAAACAGTTGGCCAGTTGTTCCACTTACTTATTGAAAAATGTGTCTTAAGCAAAATATACTTACATCATACCCACGTGTATACCTACGATAGATGGTCTATGTACACACACCCCCACAACCACACACACACACACACACACTATCTATAGAGCAGCATTGTAAGCAATTTCATTTCCATTTCGATAACTTTTCTCTCGCCAAACAAAAGTCCTTTTGCGACTTAGTCAGAACTGTTAAATCAAGGAGTCTTAACATGTCAATTGCAGCGTCTCTTAGGAACAGCCAGAAATACAATTTTAAATTAGTTGAAATTAATTTCGGTAAATTATAAAATTTAAACAGATATTGCATTTAACTTTTAAAAAGAATAAAAAAATTTAATAACAATTACAGGGCCATAATTCGGTATTCAAGATTTTTTTGAAGGCTAATTTTTTGATTGGTTTTGAACAAAAAATCGATAGTCACTTGAAACCTGTTGAATATATCGATATTTCCGCGCTGGCTGCTATCTGTAGACCGTGCTCTTGGCCACCTTTTCATATCCTGTCTCCTGCCTGCCTTCTGTCAGTAATTAAAAACGAAGAAAACAAGAGGAAGCCGAAGCACTCTGTAGAAGATATTTTAATGCCAAGTTGTAGCGAAATTGGACGAGAAATCATATTGTCAAAAGTGTTGCATCTTTTTTTGGCGCACTTTCCAAGCACGCACACACCAAACGATAAGCGATAAATGATAAACGATAAATGAAAGAAGAGTAAGAAAAAAAAAAGGAAAATCGAAATAAGGAACAAATTAAGAAACTCAAAAAACGCAAAAACACAGACAGACATGAAATTACAATTTTAAAATTCCCCCAGCTGCACTTTGCGGCATTTTAAATGTCTAAATAAAATATTAAATGATGTAAACGCAGAATGAACTAGATATTGGATAAATCGTATTATAAAATGCAAAGTTTTAGCACACACACACACAAAAAACAGCCATCACAAGTATAGATGTATAATGTATATCGAATGAACACGCAAATTTGCGGATATATAGGGATATATACAAATACGATCCGAAATCGAGGGCTTGCGTTCTTCGGGTCTCGATTAGCAGGATTTGCTTTGCCTCTCCCATTGCTTTGCCAGTGCATTTTTTCGGTTCAAATTAATTGGTTTTCCTACATAAAAGCTTCAAATGTGATATTTTATAAAAACAAAAAAAAAAAACTAAAACTATTAAAATGTAACGAACGAACGCAAGAACTAACCAACCGATAACGATACCGATACCGATAGCGATACCAACAACAACCGGCATTTAAGCGAAAGTAAAGTAAAGTCTACACTTTATCATTATGATTATTATTAATTATTATGCTAAGTTAAGCGAAACTGTAAGTAACGTTATGCCTATTAATTATTACAAAAAGCCAGAGAGAGACAGAGAGAAAAATCGTTTTAAATCCGAAGTGGAAGGGGATAGTGACATGAAACCAGAAACAAAACGAAACAATTAAATAAAGATTTAATGCAAAAACGAAAAACCCCCAAAAGAAACGAACCATTTTTTCTTCTTCTGCTTGTGGAACTCGAACATGTTGCGCATACGACATGTTGCACAAGCCGGCATGTTGCGCATACGACATGTTGGATAGCAGCCGACGACAGTGTGGCCTATCATCGGGCCGGTAAACAAACAGTGCATACTTTTCGGCTGCCAGTGGGTCTCGTGGGTTAAGACTTGTTGCGCGGCAGCAGAAATGGTTGCTCCAAGCAAAAGTATCTCACAAATTGCAAGAATATCTGAGGGATTCTTTTTTAATTGCGATTAATATAATTTATATTTTAGTTCAAACTATTACCTAATACCTTCTGACTTTTTTATATTCATTTTTAAATCATTTTAGAGTTTTCTGTTAGAATTTGCAATATGGAAATAGGAAATATCTTAGATTTTATAGCCTTATATTATAATTTATTATTATATCTTTAAGATATTTAAGTTAAAAGAAAGCTAAAATATGAGAATAATTACTTTACTATATCTTATTCAATTTAAAACTATTAGAATTTTATAATAAATATATATTTATTTTGAAAAATTTTGAACCCTTTTTTGGTATTCTAATTTTAGTCAAAGGCTCGAAACTCATTGAAAGAGTCATTTCCGACCCTATAAATCATATATATTATTGATCAGCAACAAAAGCCGAATCGATCTAGCCATATTTGGTAGGAAAATATTTTTTTTTAATTTTTTCAAAATTTTAAAAGGGGTTACTTCATGAAAATTGCCAAAAAATTTGTTAAATTTTTATTTTTTCAAAAATGTTTATTCAAGTATGCAGAATTGTTAACCTAATAAAAACTAACACAAAACTGTTTTCCGATTTGAAATTAAAGCAGTTTTAGCTTAGTTATGACTTTTTAAAGTTTAATATTTCCCTCAAAGCCCTAAAAATGCAACTATTTATATCTTAGCTTATATATCCTTTAATTTCACTCAAAAGATTGCTCCTTTTTGTGATAAATACAGCATTTATTTGCTTTCGACTTCCTGCATAGAAACTATTCTTTATAGTTGAGTAATCCAATTGAACAATCGATTCAGTCAGTTGCAAAATTTTACACAATTTCAAGAGCCAAAATTATTGGCAATTTGTGCATCTGACGATGCCACGTCACTTGCCTGCCGCTGCTGCTGCATCTTTTGTTTTAGTTTAGTTTTGCAATTATTTTGCTTAAAATATTATGATTAAAAATTTGAACGAACCAATGCGCCCGACTCAACTTCGGCCAGCCTTACGGAAAAACGCTGTGAAGCGGAAAATCCGCTTGGCAATTGCCGAGTGCCGAGTGCCGACTGCCATCCATCCTTCCATCCTTCCATCCATCCATCCATCCATCCATCTGAGCAACCATTCGTCCTTCCAGGAATGGGAAAGGAGTCAAGGAGTCGGCCAAGTCGCATTATGCAACAGCTTGTGCAAGTGCAAGTGCCCGCCGTTATCCCTATTGCGGCTCTGGTTTATTGTTATTATTATTGCCGCCCCTTTTTTGTGTGCCACTTTCTGCCAGTAGTCAGTAGCAAATAGCAAGTAGCATCCTTTTTGGACTTTTCTCTGCCAAGTGGGCTAAGGATATAGCCAAGGATATTCGCCATTGACTGTGCCTGTATATGCGCAGCTTCTTGAAAGTATGCTCTCTTAAACCTCGAGGTATGTACAAAAAATCCTTAAATTATACAAATACTATAAAAATCTAATGACAGGCTTTATTTATTTGGGAATTTTTAACCTTGTCAGCAGTTGCAATTAATGAATAAATAGAAATTCTACAGAGATAGCTCACAAATTAAATCAACTCCCAAAGTGAAACCTATTACAATTTGTAAATCTATTGTAAATCTATAAATGTGCATATATCTAAAAGATATATGATCCATTCCATTTCAATTGATCACTTTTCTCTAAATTAAAATAAGTATCCTACAGTTTAAAGCTTCGTTTGTCTAACTACAGTTTCTTTTCTATTTAAATGTTATTTCCTTTTTTATTTTTTGGGTTCAGCAAAGTCGTTGTTGTTCTATATCTGTAAAGCAATTAATAATAATTGGCCCTAAAAAACCCTCCCGTATTTTTTTGCATTCCCGCGAGGGGGATCAGACTGATAGGAACCTCGGCCCCTTTGGTGTTGGGAGTTTTTGGTTTTTGGGAACTGTGACGGCTATTTGCAAATATTTACAACATCCGCTGTCCGTTCAGAACAAACAAAAACCAAAACACACCATTACATGTACTTGTTCATGTGTGTGTGTGTGTGGGTGTTGGTGTGTGCGTTGGTGTATGTTGGTGTGTGTTGGTGTGTGTTGGTGTGTGTTGGTGTGTGTGTGTGACAGAGTCACGCACTGAAGGTCCTCTCGCTTCCGCCTGTGACTTCTGTGCGGGAGCAAATAAAAGTTCTGAAATGCGATTATCTTGATGAATTGGAATTTGAATTTTAATTCTCTGCTTTCGGCCAGTTTCACAGCAAAAGTACACTTAGCGAAAAGGGGGCGAAGAAATGTAAAAGAATTTGCTACTTTTAAATACCTTAAAATGAGCTAAAGGCCTAAGCTGCGCTATGGTTGTTAAACCGAAGTTTAGTTGAAAAGTTTTAGTTGAAAACTATTTGTATGCTTTAAATAAAGAAAATAAACTTATGCATCTTTGTTGGGAAGTAGTTCTTCTT